TGGCGGCGCAAAGTAACACTGTCTCCCCATCATTATCAATGATATGAAGTAATTTTCGATAATGTTCAACCAGATATTTACACATAGTATAATTCTTATTAATGCATGCCACATGAAGAACCGACTGACCATCGTTTGTAAGATCGTTATCACTCATACCAACTGACAAAAGGTAGGAAAATATGTTTAACTTTCCGTGTTTAGCTGCAACATGCAGAACAGTGTATCCGTCATATTTAATGATGTGAAAAAGTTGGGGATACCTTTGAACCAGATATTTACACATTTCAAGGTCCCCATTTCTGCATAAAATATGAAGAACAGATTCGCCTTCAATTGTGAGATCGTTTACACTCTTAAAAACAGTCAGTAAAAAAGAAAATAAGACAAATTCCCTTTACTCGCCGCAGCATGTAGAACTGTATATCCGTCATTGTCAATGATATGCAAAAGTTGGGGGTAATTTTGCACAAGATACTTACACATTTCAAGGTTTCCATTCCGACATAAAATATGAAGAACAGATTCAACATCATTTTTGATGGCATTTACGTTTAATACAGTGAATAAATAAGAACACAATGCCATGTTCCCTCTTTTTGCTGCAGCATGTAAAACTGTATCTCCGTCATTGTCAATGGCATTCAAAAGTTGAGGATGATTTTGGGCCAAATACTTACACATTTCAAGGTTTCCATTCCGGCAGAAAATATGAAGAACAGATTCGCCATCATTTGTGACAGCATTAACGTTCGAACAAACAGTTAATAAATAGTTGAATAATTCAGAGTTTCCTCCTCTCGCTGCAGCATGTAGAACTGTATCTCCGTCATTGTCAATGGCATTCAAAAATTGAGGATGATTTTGGGCCAAATACTTACACATTTCAAGGTTTCCATTCCGGCAGAAAATATGAAGAACAGATTTGCCATTATTTGTGATAGCATTAACGTTCGAACAAACAGTTAATAAATAGTTGAATAATTCAGAGTGTCCTCCACTCGCTGCGGCATGTAGAACTGTATCTCCGTCATTGTCAATGGCATTCAAAAGTTGAGGATGATTTTGGGCCAAATACTTACACATTTCAAGGTTTCCATCCCTGCATAAAATATGAAGAACAGATTCACCATTGTTTGCAAGATCATTGACATTCATTCCAACACTTAGTAGATAAGAAAATAAAACAAAGTTTCCATCCTTAGCTGCATCATGTAGAACTGTGAACCCGTCGTTGTCAATGACATTCAAAAGATCAGGGTATTTTGTGACCAAGTATTTACACATTTCTAACTTACCATTTAAGCAACAGTTGTGAAGAACTGTTTTACCGTCGTTTGTTGTAGTTTTAATGTCTAATCCTTTGTCTATCAAAAGCTTGAACACATCAACATTTCCTCCCAGGCCTGCATCATGTAGAACAGTGCATCCATTTTTGTCTTTGACTTCAAATAATGCTGGAAAGTTTTCGACTATATACTTACAGAGTTCAAGATGTCCTCTCTGGCATGAAATATGAAGAACAGATTTACCATTGTTAGTTTGTCTTTGGCATTAATGTCGAAAAACAGTTAGTAAATAGGAGAATAACCTTAACATTTCCTCCTCCCAGGCTGCGTCATGTAGAACTGTACATCCGTCATTGTCAATGACATTCAAAAGATCAGGGTAATTTTTGACCAAGTACTTACACATTTCTAAGGTTTCCTTTCATGCATAAAATATGAAGAACAGTTTGCCATCATTTGTTTTACAGTTTAACATCTAACAAACCTTTCTATAAAAGCTTTAACACATCAACATTTCCTCCCAGGCCTGCATAATGTAGAACAGTGCATCCATTTTTGTCCTTTACGTCAAGTAATTCAGGATATTTTTCGACTAAATACTTACAGAGATCAAGATGTCCTCTCTGGCATGAAGTATGAAGAACAGATTCACCATTGTTTGCAAGATCATTGACATTCATTCCAAGAGTTAATAGATAAGAAAATAAGTCAAGGTTTTGTTCCTTTAGTGCATCATGTAAAACTGTGAACCCATAGTAGTTGTCAATGACATTCAAAAGATCAGGGTATTTTGTGACCAAGTATTTACACATTTCTAACTTACCATTTAAGCAACAGCTGGTGTAAGAACTGTTTTACCATTTCTTGTTTTATCTTTTACATTCAAATCCTTTGCCTATCAGAAAGAGAAAAACCTCAACATTTCCTCCCCTTTAGTGCATCATGTAAAACAGTCTCTCCATTTTCGTCAATGATTTCAAATAGGTCAGGGTAATTTTGACTAAGTACTTACAGATTTCTAACTCACCATTCATGCAGCACTGAAATGTAAGAACTGTTTTACCTTCATTTGTTAATACTTTTAATATCAAACCAAGAGTCTATTCAGAAACTCAAGAACCTCCAACATTTCCTCCCCAAGCTGCGTCATGCAAAACAGTCTCTCCATCACTGTCACTGATTTCTAGTAGTTCAGGGTAATTTTTGACCAAGTACTTACACATTTCTAACTTACCATTCATGCAGCACTGGTGTAGAACTGTTTTACCGTTGTTTGTTGAACGTTTAACCTCTAAGCCCTTCTCTATCAGAAGGCTGAAGACCTCAACATTTCCTCCCCAAGCTGCGTCATGTAACACAGTCTCTCCATTATTATCTACAATTTCCAGTAGTTTTGAATAATTTTCCAGCAGATACTTACAGATTTCAAGATGTCCTCTCTGGCATGAAATATGAAGAACAGATTTACCATTGTTAATAAGATCTTTGGCATTCATACCAAGAGTTATTAGATAGGAGAATAAGTCCAGGTTTTCTTCCTTTGCTGCATCGTGTAGAACTGTGTATCCGTCACTGTCAATGACATTCAAGAGGTCGGGGTAATTTTTGACCAAGTATTTACACATTTCTAACTCACCATTCATGCAGCACAGGTGTAGGACAGTTTTACCTCCAGTTGTTTTACCTTTTACATCTAATCCTTTGCCTATCAAAAGCTTTAACACATCAACATTTCCTCCCAGGCCTGCATAATGTAGAACAGTGCATCCATTTTTGTCTTTTACGTCAAGTAATTTGGGATATTTTTCGACTAAATACTTATAGATTTCAAGATGTCCTGTCTGCATGAAATATGAAGAACAGATTTACCATCGTTTGTAAGATCATTGACATTCATACCAATACTTAACAGAAAGGAGAATAAGTCAAGGTTTTCTACCTTTGCTGCATCATGTAGAACTGTGTATCCGTCATTGTCAATGACATTTAAAAGGTCAGGGTAATTTGTGACTAAGTACTTACACATTTCTAACTTACCATTAACGCAGCAGTAATGTAGAACTGTTTTACCGATGTTTGTTGTGCTTTTAAGATCTAGTCCTTTGTCTATCAAAAGCTTGAACACATCAACATTTCCTCCAAAGCCTGCATCATGTAGAACGGTGCATCCATTTTTGTCTTTGACTTCAAATAATGCTGGAAAGTTTTCGACTAGATACTTACAGAGATCAAGATGTCCTCTCTGGCAAGAAATATGAAGAACAGATTTACCGTATTTTGTAAGATCTTTGGCATCCATACCAAGAGATAATAGATAAGAAAATAAGTCAATTTTTCCATTTTTTGCTGCATCGTGTAGAACTGTGTATCCGTCATTGTCAATGACATTCAAGAGGTTAGGGTAATTTTTGACCACGTATTTACACATTTCTAACTTACCATTCATGCAGCACTGGTGTAAAACTGTTTTACCGATATTTGTTGTATGTTTACCATCTAATCCTTTGTCTATTAGAAACTTGAAGACATCAACATTTCCTCCCCAGGCCGCGTCATGTAACACCGTTTCCCCATCATGGTCTAAGACTTCAAGCAGTTTGGGATAATTTTTGACTAGATACCTAAATATATAGAGGTTTCCACTCATGCAAGAAATATGAAGAACAGATTTACCATTTCTTGTAAGATCACTGACATTCAAACCAACAGATATTAGATAAGAGAATAAGTCAAGGTTTTCTACCTTTGCTGCATCATGTAGAACTGTGTATCCGTCATTGTCAATGACATTCAAAAGTTTGGGGTAATTTTTGACCAGGTACTTACACATTTCTAATGTTCCATTTCTACAACATAAGTGTAATACTGTCTTACCTTCATTTGATTTCCTGTTCACATCTAGCTCGCTCTTGATAAAGAAATTGAAGATATCTACATACCCTCTAGAAGCTGCATTGAATAAAACACTTTTTCCCAAGTTGTCAGTGAAATGAAGTTGTGAAGAACTAAGTTTTACCAAGTATTCACACATTTCAAGTTGTTTTTCCAGTTGCTAATTGTTACTTCAGGATAAAGTTTTTTTTCTAAAAGGTAATTATACAACTCAATATTTCCTGATTGTGCAGCAAAGTGCAAAGGATTTTCTCCTTCGAAGTCATCAAAGCTCTTTGTCAATAATGCAGGGTATAAATCGCAGATGTACCTAACCATATCTATTTTTCCGTTTTGACAAGCGTAATGAAGGACGGTTGAACCGTGATGAGTTCTAGAGAATGGTTTCATCCCTTTGTTTATTAACTTTTTAAAAGCATCTATTTGTCCCGCAAATGCAACAAAATGAAGTGCGTTCCCACCTTGCTCATTTCGTACATGAACTAAAGAAGGATAACGCTCTAGAACGGGATCAATTAATTCATTTTGTCCGAAGTAGCATATTTCATGAAGCAAACCCCCTCTCAAAAAACTCCATTTTGAATCATTTGAAAAAATTATTTGTTCAAGATCAGTTTTTTCTGTAAAACGGAAAAGCATCTTAGCATTTCCACTTTGCACAGCATAGAAACATGTTTTGAGATCATATTTAACGCCTGTTTCTAGAATAGCGTCCACCACATGTTCATGATTGTAACTACAGGCTTTGTTTAATGCCATATAGCTTTGCTTTTTTGATGAACGTGATAACAAATGTTTTACGCAATCAATATTTCCAGCTTCCGAAAAGTGAACCAGCATTGAAAAATCTCTCTCGTCAACACTGCTAACAAAGACCTGTTTGCACGCCTCATCTTCCATAATCTTGTTTGTAAACTCATCATCATTCCAAAGCGTCATCAAAGAAACTGATCTGAATTCGGAAAATTTTCCTTTTTCTAAAATTATTTTGATTTTTTCTATGATGTCTGGGAATAACTCGCTGTCTATTTTAATTGTATTTGTGGACGCACTCGTAGTTGATAGAGATAATAACAGTGAGGGATCACAATCACTAATTATATCTTTCGGATAATTTTGACACAAGAATAGAAAAATACTTTCTTGTACAGAACTGTGTGTAAATCGAAATTCATTGTCTATATTATCATGTTCTACATAGGAACCTTCGTAAACTTTTATTAAATCCCGAAAGTCAGAAATTGATGCACTTTCTTCTAATTTCATAATCTTTAATGCTTTTTCTTTTCTCTTCGTGTCCTTAAAAGGGTTGTTTAATATGTCATCTTTTATGCTACCCCCACAAAGTAGGATGTAAATCAAAACAGCAGTTTTGAGTTCTTTGTCTTTAATTCTTAGTCTAATTTCCTTTTGTAAATGTTTCAAAGGGTCTTCAAAAATGTCTTGGATATTGCAATTGCTTTCTGCTATCTTTTTTAATATTGTAAAACACTGAGGAACTCCAATTGCACACCCAATACCCCTGATCTTTAGAATTTCGTCAACAGACACTATAATATTTTGCAACTCGTACGTCGACACAAAATATTCAAATTCTGCTTTGCTTATTCTGTTGTCATTGTCAGATAAATCAACAGTAGAATTGCTGATTGTAGTGATGTCCGTTATAGTGTTTTCACATTCCCTGTAAATATCGCTCCTTAAAGTTGCTATGAACATGTTCCCATTCCCTTTTTCATTATCGTACAGGTTACCTTTTATCAAATCTTTCTGAGCATTGAAATATTGTATTTCATTCGTCGATACAGACCCTCGCCCAAACATATCATCGAGAAATATCACCATTCTAGAACAACTCGGCACTATTTTATGAAAATTCTCTAAAGACAATATCTGAATTGGTTTCATTCCTCTTTCTCTCAGTTTTACGAGGATATGTTTAGCTAAAGTTGTTTTTCCATCCCCTGGATTACCTCTAACAAATACACATCTCTTTTCCTTTATTATTCGCATGGCTTTTTCACTTGCACGTGTTGTAACGAAAAGAGAACGCATTTCCTTTTCGAAGTTGTCCAACATATCTCTTGTTGTGTCTTTAATAGATATGGTATTGTTTATATATTATTAACTTGTATTTCAATATCGTATTCACAAAATCAAAGAGGAGAACGGTAAAACATTAGAACAAAATACAATAGTACAAAGAAATATAAATTAACCAAGATTCCAAATTAGCTTTTTTCCTAGGCTGTATTTTGAATTGGATTAGATTTTCATGAATCAAGAACTAAAAAATAAATAATAATTACCAATTTTCATCTTTAGTTCTGGCTCTATAGAAAAAAATATGATAAAACTATATAAAAGTGATGAATAACAAAATTAAGCAAACTTAAAACGTTTTATCGGATAAAATTTATATATATCCCATGGCCTTTTGATTTATACTTTGCTCTCTACAATTTGTAACAGAGAAATTGTATTTTTGCCGAACATTTTGTGAAATAGCATATGCTGAAAAGGAAACATTTATTTCCATTCCTTTGTCCATACGATATATCCTGTGAGCTTGAGATAAAATATACCACAGAGTCTGACACTTCTGTTTCATACTTAGATATTTTATTTGAAAAGACGTTAAAGGCTGTCTAACAACCAAGCTATATGATTAATGCGATGACTTGTATCGTCAATTTTCCTTACTTATGCAGCAATATACTTTCATCACCTGCATACGGAGTATATATATCTCAGTTGATTCGATAGCCAAGAGCATGCTCTACGAATAAACAATTTCTGTAACGATGTAAATTATTGACAAGCAATTTGATGAGACAAGGACAGCAGTCTCGTATAAGTTCACTATACTGTAAGTTCTATGGTCGATACAATGACCTTGTCAGGAAATACAATTAATCATGAGTCAAATGTTGAATGGCGTTTTTCATAGTTATTGTTAGTCCATTTTTTATACACTGAATTGACGACGGATATTTCCGTTATTTCCCGATCATGACAAGGAGCACAATGCAGGTATGACCGGTCAGCAGAGGATGCTCACTCTTCCATTGCACCTGATCCCACCTCTGATGTCTCGGAGGTCTGCGTTTTCTTTACTCCTATTTTGTATTGTTTTATGGACTTTGAGATTTAATACTATTCGTTATCTTCATATCCTTCTTTGTGAAAAATATGTTTTAATTAAAGGTTCAAATGCTACCTCAATCAAATTTGAGGACGTGGGCTACAGTTTCTGATACCATATACTATTTCATTTTTAGTGGCAACTTACAACTACATATGTTCGCGATCCAGCGCAACTTTGCAAATCAGATAGCTTTTCTGGAACTTTTGAAAATACCCAACTGGAAATCTCCTACGTTTTACCTTTATCTTTCTCTTTTATGTAGTAATATTCCACTATTACCTGCATATTTTCTTATACATCTCCCGACATATTCAACAAGAACATGCTCAATTTTAAACCAAGAGAGACTCAGACAAATAGGTCGGAACACCAATAGCCTCTTAAAGTCAGTCTCGTAAATAATACGGTAATTAAAATGACCTCATTGGATAATAAAATCTTTTATTGGTCGTGTTTTGGGTGAATTGTTTAATACCAAATTCTTACACTATTAGATTATTGAATTTTTTTTTATTAATTTTACAATTGAATATGACTGATTGGTCAATACAATATGAATGGAATGAAGACTTTAAACGAGACTGCTTATATGTTTGGTTCATTAACTTGTTTGTCAATAACATACCTCGTTTTAGAAATTGTTCGCAAGTAGAGCATGCTCAAGCGTATCGAATAGTTATACAAATAAAAAATTACGAGTATTTTTAGTATTCACCAAGAAAGAAGGCTATTTTCCTTTCGTTGTTGCCAGGATTTTCCTTTCTTTCCTCTCCCTTTTCGCATTGTTCAACTGATATGTCTTTATCTTCCCGTTTGCTTTTGACTTGATGCTCATGTGGGAATTCTGAAATGGAATAATTCGATCTTTTTAGGTAGTTTTGCCTTGTTTGTTATTTTGATTTGATTTGCCATTGAATAATAATGCAGGTTGAATGAGGTTTTTTTTTTTTACACAATCCTTTATAATATAACAATGATTATAAAATAACAATATTTTTTTGGATATGGTAACTTAGAAGAGAATTTGAATAAAACTATAACAGTTTTATCAGAGAGTCATTATTTGTGATGGACATAATTTTCTCAAATTTATAAGTATTTACAGGAACATATAAGTTTATGACAACAATACTTGATTGCGCCCATGTGAAAAGGGTCCTTATGGCAATTTTTATGCATTTTGAGTTTTTCACGGATTCTGATAGAGTAAGGTTAGAAGTTGTCAAATATAAATTTCTATGGTCCTACGTCTACTCTAAGTAGGTTTTTTCTTCATTTTTATGAAATATACTTTAACAGGTTAATAATGACGTCATGTTTTTCAACAACGTCAAACCTTTTCAGACTGAACGTTACATGATTTTCTTCTTTAATTTTACTACGGTGATTAATAGTTGTATAATATTTTATATTTTTCCATGCACATTATATTTATCTCATTGTTTCTTTTAATATTAATAATTATTTAATAGTTATGTATATTATGGATTCATCAGTGGTGCATAGTATTATGAGTGAGTGTTTGTTTTACGTTAGACTTTTCTATGACACCAGGGGAAACCTGAACAGCGGGCAACATCCATTCATTTTTTTTTTGTTGAAACAATTATTTTCTCAAACAAAATATTTACTGGTAATCCATGCAAGAGTCATTTGATAAGCCTGTAGAATTCTCCTGAACATTATTTTAATTTAAACATTGCTCTCGATAGGTCAAGATTTCAGCATAAACGATATATCTTTAGTTACCATATATGTGAAAATTAATTTTTTTTTAATTACAATATTACGCTACCTAAATGGTACTGCGAGGTGAAAATTTATTTGATTGTTCTTTCTTTCTAAATTTTATATAAAGATTGTGAAGTGTGGTACATGTAACATGTAATTACGATACACAATAGACAGTAAATAAAAAGGAAATTCGGTTGATTCACTGCATCTATAATGTTGTCTGTCTGCAGTGGGTCAATTATGACACTGCTTTTTTGAAAATATAAAGGATACTCGAAATATTTTTCAGTCTAGCAGTAAAAATATTTTAATATTAACCAATCGAAAGGTGGAAATTTACAAACAAATGAATGAGTTATAATCCGCAATCATTTACACAATAGGTCAACCCAGGATTAACATTTGTAGGATTATGTGTATGTTGTATGGGGGGGGAGTAAAAAGTCTAAATGGCAGAAACTTAAAATTCTTGTGAACACGAGTTAAAATAAATTTAAAAAAAACATTTTTTTTACTTCAAAAGTTTTAGGTGCACCCAGTACCATTAACCCTACAACTCGCAGATTCACTTTTTTCATTTAGGTTTGAAATAATGCTGCCTATTATTCTTCATTTTTTATTTGTACCTTTAATTCTGAGCCTGGAACTGAATTGCTATGAATTCAATATTGTTAATCATGCATATCATGATACCCTAAAATTAAAAAAATCTGATTTTATTTTATGAAATGGATGGTTTTAGAAGCACACCCATAGAATTAAATTAAAGATGCCATTGACGGTTTATATGTATAGCTTTTGTTTGGGTAGGGGTGGGTTAAAGATTAATAACATATGTAATTGTTTATGCCTAAATATACAGTCAGTTGAAAATGACTGTTTTGTATTATATATTTTCTGACAATTGTCTGTGAACTGGCTGTTTTGAAATGTCAGATTTCTGTAGGGATGTAAACATCTTAGAAAATCATCATATTATTTATGACCAAATTTTAAAAAAATTCCCCTTCATTCTAATGTTGTTTTCTAATTTATTCTATAAAGTGAGTTGAAAAGAGTATGAATTCCATTCTGGTCCTGTTCCCAGTGACGTAGCAACGGGGGGGGGGGGGGCTGGCACTTCACTTTTTCCCCCAACCTTACTTATACTATAGGAATTGATAATTGAAAGTCTGGTTGCCCCCCCTAATATAAGTGATGTACGGAAAACGTAGTATAAAAATTGGTACTGAAAAAAGTTGGCCTCTAACCCAACCCCCCCTCCACACGAAATAGGATTTTCGATTTGTGCAACATTAACCTTTTTTTTTGCTTGTCAACTTTTTCAGGGAAGTAAAATTTTTTTTTCTGGCTGCCCCCCCCCCCCACTTTCAAAAACGATCATACGTGTCTGGTGCCAGAAGCTTGGATATGCTAAGCTTTGTAGAGCCTACATGTTACAGAAATATATAAGGACACCCCCACCCCAATCCCCTGCACTACAGCCAAAATGAAATAAAATGCAAGCACATTGTTGCGGTTTTATGTCATGTATTTTCAGCATTGAATTTTATTTTCTGTTAGCATTTACTTGTAGAAATGAAACCCGACCCCAAATTTGTAAAGATTTTTTTATCAACCAAAGCAAATAAATAATTTTTGAGCATATTTAATAATATTTATCAATAATTTGATGGCAGGTTAAACAATATATTATTCCACACTGATAACTGCAATGAGATTATAAGTTCAGTGATTGAGTTTTTAGCATGATAATTGATATGTTAAAAGACATTCAATGCTGATCGAGCTTTTATGAAAGACAACGTTCGGCATGGCTTAAAGAATTAATTTACAGATAATGCTTAAAACATTTGAACTCCGTATGGAAAAAAAAACACGTAAGTACCAAAGAGTTACATGTATATTAAACTTGGAGATCTTAAAAAAAATAGCTATACATGTATATATAGTTTAGAGAACAAAATTGATATTTTCTTTCATTTATTATTTCATTTGTTTTGAAAACTCATCTTTTTCAATAGATTTTCACATTTCTCATTATTAGATACTTGTAAATAAATTCAATATAAATATTTTTATCTGCCCTCTCTCTCTCTCTCTCTCTCATCAGATTTACTTGTCCAGCCTCATTAAAGTTAGAACATTAAGAACTTTTTTTTTATTCGGATGTTTTTTGCTTGTTTAATTTCTCTAAATTGAAGTGTCCAACAAGAATATAAGACAAAACAACATTTTTAAAGTTCAATTTATTTAATCATGATTATAAGGTAGACGCTTTATATGTTTATTATTTTTTAAAAAATAAAATTCGTCATGGAATTATTTCATGCAAAAAAAGAAGCTATATGATAGGAGATCTGAAAAAAAAAATAAAGTCTGTTCAATTTTGCAGTTTTCTTTTTTTTTTTTTTCGTCTTTTTCCTTTTTCTACATAAACCTTATTCCCAAAGTACAGCAATATTCTTTTATTTAAAAATTCATAATTATGATGACGATTAAAAGTTTTTTTTTAATTTGGTCATAAAATATCTCTTTTAAAATCTTTTATAAAATTCATGCGAACATGCAACTGAAATGTGAAAAAGTACGCAATTAAAATAAAGAATGTCCCTCTCTGGTACCCCTGTTACATCAATTGTTGACATCAGAGTTATCTCTCCTATTTTTTATTTATAGAAAATACAAATAATCTTGACTATCGTTCTTACACATTCTTGCTAGATTTGCAAAAAAAAAAAACAAATAAAAAAAAAAAAAACGTGGAAGATGTATGTTTAGTTTCAACATTTGTGCAAACAATTTAACAACAGTTTAAGCAGTATGCACCGATGAATCAATGTTTACTTGTGATCGACGCGATCGTGATGTATATTTGAGAGTGGTGGAGCGGATTTCAAAGAAGTAGGAAGACAATTTTCCTTTGCAATATTTTTACGATATACCCTGTCTAAGATGTATTCTAAAAATGGTATAAATATGTAAATAAAATTTATCTAGAGTGTAAAGATTCAATATGCTATCAGAAAACACCTTGCCTACATCTTCTATACATAAAATTACGCATGTAGGAAAACTATTGGTATTATAGAGACGTATTTAATAATGTTTGTTAAGAAACCATTTCTAAATGTTTTTATTTATATCTATTAAAATCAGTGGATTAGGAAATTCAGATATTGATTAAATTAATTTTTAAATGAAAATTAATTCCACATGTTTGAAACAGCGATAAAAACTCTGGATGCGTCAAACGTCAAAACATGTGGTTAAAAAAAATCTGCGTCGAAGTTCACCGTCAGTCTGCAACGTCACATCTTTATGACGTTATTTCTCTGTTTTAGCAAAAATGCCATAAGGACCCTTTTGTCATTGGCGCAATCACTTATTATTTTTACATAATAAGTTTTACACGTAAAAACAAAAAATAGGAACATTCCATGACATAATGAAATTCAATACCGAAATTATATTTGTTACGTAAATTACATATTCTTAAAGATATGTAAGTATTGGTCCATCTACCAGTTTTGACTGGATATTTGTGGTTACAAGTTCTAAATCTTGTTAATACAATTCTTAAGTCTTTTCAGAATTCAATTCTAGGCATAAGTTGTATTTGAAAATCCTGTAATTTAAACATTTAGATGAATTTGCTGATGAATTTTGAAGGTGTATTTAAGAAGAATTTCGAATTATGTTTTCGTCAAGAAAACAAACATTTACTCCTAGGTAATTTTCAAGGATAATTTTTTTTCAAAATCGCAGTGTTTAATACTTTTGATATTTCATTCATCACATTCATCCTCAGCTACAACTACACAGTATTTCTAAACTTTATAAACTTCTCTTTAAAACAAATTAAAGATGTATTGTCGGGCCCATCATCTTTTTTACAAAGCTCCTTTCTCTACCCCTTACTAAAAAAATCCAAAAGGAGGTTTAGAAGTTTACCATCACCATTTTTTCTTTTGCAATTGACTCTACAAATTTTACAACCACCCCTTAATAATAAATTATAATAAAGATACGAAGATACGAATTTGATATCAAAGACAGTTTTTTAAACGCAGCTAGGATAAGGCTGCCCGTAAAATATCAAGCTCTTCAAACTGTAGTTACTTCTCTGAACTACCTAGATATGACGTCATAATAGAATATGACGTCAAGTCACTGCATACTTGAGCTGACATGACGGGGAAAGTGTCATAATTTTTACACGGCGTGTAAATTTATTATGGGGATTTGTGTTTAATTCAAGAGTAAGGTTTGTTTTTTTAAGCTCGTGTGTGCTGTTATAATGTTTAACATTTGATAATTAAATATCTCTATTCCTTTTGCTTGTCCGATATGCATATATTCAAGCAATAGCAAAAAATAATGTTTGAAACGCTCCCTTACACGTCCGTAGACAGAATTAAAATTTATGAATCGTGTTTATATTTGACTGGCACAAGTGAAAGACAAGGAAAAATTGAAGATATTCTGCGTGAATCTAAAAGAGAAGTATGTCTTCTAACTGAATTTTGCTAGGGGATCGTATGTAGCTTATCCGTTTTTTGTATAAATCGCGATGAAGAGTGGAAAATACCCCTTCTTACGTTGGTAATTTTAATTTATCGTAAAATATTTTCTTCAGAAGTAAATATTAAATCTGCCCCCAACACTTTTTATGTAGCAGGGATCACGATGAATCGATCTATGTAACAAACTTTGCACAATAAATCTGTTTTGCACTTGTGCCGAAGCGATTTGTGTGCAACATTTAAGAATATCAAAAATGTCCGTCACGTGATCAACACAATCATCTGACATCACAGAAATGCTTTATTATAATACCTGATTAAACTGTTATCTCAAGAAGACTGCAATTTCAAACAAGGATCACATATTGAAATCAAAATCTAGCTCAAAATAAAGTATATATTTTTAAGACATTTTAAACCTTCGGACAGCCTTATCATAACTGCGAAAGAAATAGAAGACAGAAACTTTCGTATTATGCAATTGGTCTTCAACAGAAATACTTTGTTTATAATCAGAGTTTATAATCACTCTGATTCTACACAAAAGTAGACTATACTTGATGTTTAAAGAATGATGAATTTCCTCTTTGAAATATTTAAGTAGTCTTTGTATGGAGAACACATTATTTGAATTCATTGCAATTAGCAGAATTTGTGCTTTTACACAAGTCAGCTTTTTGTATTCCTAAGAAGCCGAATTTATAGAGAACTTCTTTCTGAGATGCCAAAACACTTGTTTTGATCTTCAACTCTTCATTCAGACAACAATGTATTCAGTGACAATATTTAGTCTTCCCAATGTACTTCAATAATTTAAGAATAAAAGGTTTTACTTTGCCTCCCATATTTGGACGCTGTACTAATTAAAGATGGAAATGGCAATCTAATTACTAAATTGTATCACAGAAAGAAAATTAACAAGCTCGTCAAAACAGAATTTCGTAAATTTTATGGTTGTTCTCATGACTTTCTTAAAAAAAACAACCTATCATTATTTGAATTTTGGCTGAAAGTTTCATGTTTATTGTTATACCCTTGTTTCTATTCTACATTTAAGGAGGAACAGGACCTTTAGCCGAAAAAAATCCTGTCAATGAATTTTTTTCGTATTTTTTATATTAGTTTAAATTATCTGAGAGCAATTGTTTTAATTTTATATAGTATTTGGGTAGGATAATTTCTGCATTTTTCAAGGCAGCTTCAACGACAAAAACCTCATTTTGAAAAAATTCTGTCAATAAATATTTCGAAATTTACGATTAAATGTCAGTCCTTTATCGTAATTACTTACTGCATAAATATCACAGGGTGAAGCTAACCTCAATATCGCACAGGACATCATTGAATTAGACGTAAGCATGATAAAAACGCTTCACATTTGTATTTTCCGAGTGCAGGAAATCAATTGTGACGTCACACGAAAATATAAACATTCAAAATTATCTAATTAGAGAGAATCTCTGCTACTAAACACGATAAATATTAATTTTAAAAAAATCTGCTTCAGAAATTTATCATGATACATTGACTGTGACCTGTTTATTATGAAATAAAACGGATCATGACGGGTGTGTGTACTTGATCTCGCCGCACTGAGAATTCAAACATTACGTCTATGACGTCACTGACGTCAGACTGCAGGGTAAAGAGAAACAAATCCGTGTATTGGACAACTTCACAATATCTAAATGATGGCAAGATCTTTAAAAATTTTATTAATAATAATTTCTAAAATTAAATGTTTAAAAACAATTTTAGAATTTAGAATAAAATTACACAAGAACTGTTGATTTTAACAACGTTTAACATGTATATCATCACTGATTATGACGTAATATGTCCTTTTAGTCATGTGACATGTGTCCCGTCTCCCCTTAAAATGACTACTTATGTTGTTTCCAGTGCTCCTTGTTTTATTTTATGCTTACAAAATTTGTAGTTTTCTATGTAGACTTTTTGAGATCGATCATTATCCGTTATCTTCGTTTTTTGTGAGCTATGATTCAAACACCATTTGATGAAAATAGTATTTTTAAAATTAATTCGAATTGATAATGTGTTGTCTAAATGAATGCAACAGTCATTCTATTTTTACATTTGTTCAGTTTGAAATCGTAAGCTTATCATCTGAAATATACGTTTTTAGTACATTACTTCTCTACATAAGCAAATGAAATCAATCTTTTATTTTTAACTAACTAAAAATACTCATACGTATTCTTATAATGTTAAGATAAATAATATAAATAAATTATAAATTATAATCACCAGGTAGCAGTGGTATTTTCTCTTCAATGCTGCAAGGTTCTCCCCTTCTTTTTTGTTCAATTTTGTAAGGTTCAACTGGTATGTCTTTACACTCTCGTTTGTTTTCGTTGCGTTCTTCAATTAATGATATTGACTCCATGTTCTTCGGTGTGTATTTTTTACTTTGATCTGGTATTTAATGAAATTAATTATTGTATGATGTTTAAATGATCTTTCCAATCAGTCTCCCTATCATACGTAGCTTCACTTTATATATATATTTTTAAATTTTATTTTAAAATAAGCTAATATATATATATATATATATATATATATATATATATATATATATATATATATATATATATATATATATATATATATATATATATATATATCCAATGAAAAAAGTCAGAAATCACAAATCTCGAAAATCATTTTTACTGTTAGCGCTTTCTGCCTAATGGCTCTTCAGACAGTAAAAAGTTAACTTTTTACTGTCTGAAGAGCCATTAGGCAGAAAGCGCTAACAGTAAAAATGATTTTCGAGATTTGTGATTTCTGACTTTTTTCATTGGATATATTTACTGTACCAAAACACTGGATTTTTCTTAAATTATATATATATATATATATTTACTTCGCACTGAATCTAAAAGTAATTTTTTCCACATTTTTAGTACCATTATCTTGGTGTCTTCTGTTAAAAAACCTTGGGAACTGATTCTTTTTGAACAAAATCATAGCAAATACTACAATTCCAAAAAGACTCCCCAGTACAGTGAACGTAGGAACTAGTATTGGTATCGAATTCTTCTTTTCTTGTGCTTGTATAGTGGCATTTTGTTCTGTAAATGTCTGGCTTGAGGACCCATTTTTATTTCCCATCGTAGTTCTGAAAATTAAAGCAATTTTAGCCAACATAATCATGAGTATTTGTTACAAATATCGTGCTCCATTTCGCTTTTTACTTATATACAGATGTTTACTTGATTACCCTTTCCTCTTCAAACACAATTCATCAACACTGAAACACTTCATAGTAGGTTCAATCCTGATACAATTTGGATCTGTGAAAAGAACAAGTATTCTGGGAGAATTGTATCAGCAATACTTTTCATCTACATCCAAGTTCTATCTGGTTCCCATTAAAAATTAAAGTCAATGTAATTCCGTAAAAAATCATTTAAGCGGAACATTTATAATGCATACTTCATCTGTAATGCATCAAGAAAAAGCAGCTTAATATCTGTAAGCGTTTAAGAAAATTATTTGAATGATGATTTAAGAAGTCAAAAATTTAGATCACAATGAAGTCGCTTACATTGATATAATTGGTCAGTGAAATAATGTGCATCAGGGCATCCCTTGGTGAAATGAAGACAGGTATAACTGTCCAGTGTGGATGGTGGTTCAAATATAACACACAAATCTATGTTATGCAAAATAAAATGCTATTGACATTCTTTTGTCATTCTTTATACATGTATGTTACGTTCACAAAGAACGTAAAAAGTTATTGATTAAGTCTCATACTGAGATATCCACATTTTTTTAAAAGAACGTTTTTGAATATAGACTGTACTGAATAAAGATACATTATATCTCTTTATTTTAAGAGTTAAACTATTTACTTGTAAGCATTAATTTTTGCACTATATAATCACTATATATATATATTGAAAATATCTTTTAATTATGAGGAGGTACAAACCTTTTCCAAATATGCTCCTGGTATGTGGATAACAGAACTCAACAAGTTGTGTTAGGTCTCTTGTAGCCACACAGTGGTATCTATTTTTAAAGTCAGTAGAATGGATTGAACAATTAAGTCGCCTTGAAGCTGACTCCCATTCTGTCCGGTTGTTTGGGCAGGCGTCAACAGTGTATATTTCTGGTTTTTCAAAGGGATATGTGACCTTTAAGAGAATACAAATATATTTGAAATAACATCCAGTCTGTTGAATTTTCATATGGGGTTTTAAGTACAGTATAGTCTAGATCGCAGATATCATATCATAATATAAATATCAATCATTTTAATGTAAGACAGAATGAGATAAAATCAAAAAGACAATCACCTCTGAAATAAAATCCCTTATTTAGGAAAAACCAAAATACTTACAACACCGCTCTCCTGGTTGATCAAGAAAGTAAAAAGAAGTAATATCTGTCCAAGTATCATTATCTGAAAATTAATGATATAATTATTCTTATTTGTTACTTTTTGATAAGAATGATATAAGTAAGTAAGTAAGTAAATGGTTTATTATAGTGACAGGTGTTATATACAATTACATCAGTTGTCAACAAATATACAAATATTAATAATTGAAACACCCGGCCCATCGGGCCTATATGTCACTTTAACAATATAACACTCAATAATACAAAGATATTACGCATTGCGTTTGCTGTAAATAATAGATTGTCTGTAAGTATATGCTGAATATATGAATTTTCCGATCTGCCTTGGGATATTTAATAAAAGAAATTTTGTTTTGTCTAAATCTGACATATCATTATCAAATAAAGTTGGATTAAATTCAATACTGGTAAAAAAGATTGCTCTTAGATTTGAATATAATGTACAATGAAGCAAAAAGTGACATTCATCTTCTACACTATTTGATAAACATAGAGTACAGAGTCTGTCTGCTAAAGCCTCCCCCTTATACCGTCCTGTTTCTATCCTTATAGGTAAGACACCACATCTAAATTGAGGAAGTATAGAACGATGGCATTTTGGGATATCCATTATTACATATTTCTCGGTTTGAAAATCAGATTTTACGGCTCGATAGGTTCTAAGTTTTGGGACGTTTTGGAGATCTGCATTCCATGCGTTTAGAAATTTTTGACGTAGTTTTTCTTCTACTATGGTTAAGTTGCAGGCCATTTGATTTTGGAAAAAGGTAGACATATCAAGAGATTCAAAAAGGAGTTTGGCTGTATGCGACCAGTTTCTGTTGTTTGATAAAGATTGTTCCAAGTCCCACAAGAATATTTTTTTCGTAGTCTGTCGTCCGGCATTGTAACGAGTCGATTCCAAAGACGTATAATATTTACTTTATGTCGATAAAAAGAAGGAAGCCAACCAACTTCTCCTTGAATTGCTAGTATTGGCGTAAATCTATGCACACCCAGGAAGTATCGCAATGCACGATGCTGTACAGATTCAATATTATGATGTCTGTCGTAACCCCAAACTCCACTACAGTAATCCAAAATAGGTGCCACTCCGCTCATATACATTTTTTCGTATGTTTTGAATCCTATTGATTTATTCGAATGTATTTTGTATGTAATAGCTCCTAGTGCGCGCCCACCCGATTTTGCAAGATTTTCTGCGTTGTCCTTAAATGTGGTAAATTCGTCAAACAAAACACCAGGATACTTATAGGATGATGATTACTCAATGCGATCTTCTCCTAAGATAAATAAATGGTCACTTCTTTTCCTCTGTTTTTTACGGAAGTGTACTACTTTAGATTTTGTCGGGTTTATACACAATCTCCATTTCTTGCACCAGTTGGAGACAACATCAAGAAGTGCGTCCATGTCAGCCTCGTTCTGCGCAATCAACGCTATATCATCTGCGTATAGAAGGATGTTTAATTTGTTGGCACCAAATTCAATTCCATTGTTTAAGTTTTTTACTTGTATAGCGAGATCGTTGATGAACAGAGCGAACAACGTTGGGGAGAGATTATCTCCCTGTCTTACTCCCGATGTACATCCAAACCAGTCGGTGTAATGACTACCCAAACGAACACAGGACTCAGTTTTCTGATATAACGATTTAACCGCTTGATAGAAATGCCCGTCCACTCCATTTATAAGTAATCTGTATTCCAGCAACTCTCTATCCACCATATCAAATGCTTTTTTTAAGTCAATGAAAGTAGCAAACGTAGAATTTCTGTTTTTGATTATGCTATTTAGCGTAAATACATGATCTAAGCAGGATCTTTCACACCGGAATCCGTTTTGCTCGTCGACTAAAAGATCGTTATCGTCAAAGTAAGCCACCAGCCTTTTGTTCAGAATAGAACTGTAAATTTTAGTTACAACAGAGAGAAGGCTTATTCCTCTATAATTCAGTGGAAGCAGAGGGTCCGAGGATTGGTCCTTTAGTAACGGACAAATTATTGATTTTTCCCGTTATTTCCTGATCATGACAACGAGCACACGGTGGGTGTGACCGGTGGGCAGGGGATGCTCACTCCTCCATGGCACCTGATCCCACCTCTGATGTTTCAGAGGTCTGTGTTTGCTCTGCTCTTATTTTGTATATTGTTTAATGGACGTTGAGATTGAATACTGTTCGTTATCTCCATATCCTTCCTTTAATTGTCAAGTAATAAAATTTCTTTTTAATATTCCTCCTTATAGTGTTTGCTTAAGGTGTTTCCACCCTCACAATTTTAATGGTTCAAAATACAAATACTGCATTTATTTTCATTAAATATACTTTGAATTTTCCAGTTTTTGCAAAAATTGTATAGGTCACCATATTATTTAAGATACGAAACATAAATAAACAGAAGTGTATGTCAACATATTTTCTTTTGTAAACAGTATTATAAAAAAACATGGTTATAATGCATAATTCTGATGCTGAATGTTCCTAAATATTTACTTCCTACTTATATATTGAATTGTGAATATCAGGGAAACTATTTTACATTAGAAGTACAATAAAGCAAATACTTGACTGAAGATACCTTAGAAGGAGTTATTGCCCTTGTCAACATTTTTATAAGATTGAATAATTGATTTAAAAAAAAAATGCATTTTAAAAATTCTTTTACTTAACAAAATTTATTATTACACCTATTGTAAAGCATTCTTCCAAAAGATATTGTTCTACTAAGTATGAATATAAACTAATTACAATATTTTGCAAAAACCTATGACATCATAGGAGGGTGGAATTACCTTAAAGAATGATATTCCACTTGTTTTAGAAATCAAACCATGCAACAGTCAGGTTCAAATACTTTTTAATAGAAAAATTAATTTTTCCTTCATTTCAACTTTTAGCTTGTATAAGTTTGGCAAATCCTATTTGACAATGAAAGAGGAGGAAGTTTTACCCCCCCCCCCCCCCAAAAAAAAAAAAAGCTATATCAAAACCAAAAAAAATAAAAAAAAAAAGAAAAGAAAAGCAAAAATATAAGATAAAAGATAAAATATTGAAATGAAGTAGAGCCTTCACACAAGTTCTATCATATCATAATTTACTTCGCCATGATTGAAGCATACTTTAAATGTTGGTAAGGGTATACTTGAAAGTATTGTGGCAAAGTAACAATTGAAAATTAGTAGAATAGTAGATTATTCTAAGCTTATTTTAGTCCCTCCTTATAGAGAAATAAAGGTAGGGTAGATTTTTTGTTGCTTTTGTTGATAACCGACTTCCTCCTAAATTAGTAAAGGGGTGGGTGGGTATAACACCTAAAAACATGCTCTGTAAACCTATGGGCTAGTGTAAAATACACATTCTAATGCAAAAACTATGCATGTAGACATACTTTTGGATTAAGCACACAGTATTCATTACATTTCTTCATTCTTGTTTTACTCCACCCTTTTACTCAGTTTCAGAAAATTTAATATGAAAATCAGAAAAAAACATTTTCATTTTTTTAACCTCCTTTTTATACTGTATCATAATATGAAAAGTTAATTGAAGACCATTTCTTTTTATGTCCCTGTAATCGAAGATTCGGGGGTATATAGTTTTATCGTGTCCGTCTGTATGTCTGTCTGTCTGTCTATCTGGCGGTCTGTTTCTCTGCAAAAACTTTAACCTTTACCATAACTTTTCATTTATTGTAGCTATGCTTTTCATATTCAATATGTGTATATTCCTTGTGACAAGACCTTACTTTGGGTAGCACCAAATTTGACCTTTTGACTTTTACCTTGGACTTTGTCCCATTTTACAAAAAATGCCAAATTTTTAATTAACATTTAAACGGTAGATACTAGTACTCTCATACTTCACAAGTGTAATCCTTGTTACATTAAACCTTTCTTAAGAAACCATCAACTTTGACCCTTTGACCTTTGAGTTTGAGGTACCTTTCAAAAATTTTCCTTAGCCATTGATTTTGAACAAATGGTGCTAGGGCTTTCCTATTTTGCAATTGTATTTCTTGTGAGAAGACCCTTCTTTGGGTACCATTATATTTATATTGCATTTAAGAAAAGTTTAATCTTCGCTATGTTGCCATACAGGGGCATAGCTGTTTTATAAAAACACATCTTTTTATATATAAGAGGAGTTGGGGATAACAGATGGATACCCCATGGTGTATCAGACGGACGACGGACGTCTCGATCACTATACTCCCTATTTTCAAGCGGAGGATATAATAATATATAATACTGCTGATTTTTTTTTTCTGTCAGTACGATGATTTCCACAATCGAAAAATAATGTTTACCTAACCCTTTAGGCTCGATAAATCGATTCTAAATCCCTGCACTGACCTTCAAATATAGCTATAATCGTATGTTATGAGATCAATATATCATCAATTTATTCCAATTAAGCTCGGGTGAGCATTTTGGCCAATATGCTTCTTTATCTAATTTTTTTGCCCTCTAAAAATTTCAGCTTTAAGGGTCCTCCACACCATGTGACTTGTGACGTATATAGAGAAAAAATACTTTTACTTCCGGTTTTATCGAGGTTTTGCACGAACGATTTGGCCTAACACCGTTTGACGTTTGTAAACAATGAACACATGGCATGATCACGGAATGACCGATGGAAATGGATGTGCAGGGTTTTTTTTTTTAAATAAAAGAACAACAGACGTCTTGGATTATGTTACATAATAAGTCGTAAACAACAGGTACTGGTGGATAAGACCAGGGACCTAGTATGTTCAGGTTATTTATACTTTTTCCAGGGACCTAGTGCGTTCAGGTTATTTATACTTTCAGGCTAATCAACCGAGTCTGTTTTGATAGATGAAATTTCGCCATCGGCACACTAATTCGTGCGTTTCAATAATACATTAACTCATTGTTTGTTTATAAATATTGATAAAATAGTGTGCGTTTCTAGTTTTCCTCTTAAATTTTATATTTGTCCAGTTCAGTGGCCAGTAATGACTAAATATAGTATGGTGACGTATGCGGAGACTTGCCAAAGTTTTTGAGTCCCGGGCAACA